GCTCTTTTTCCAGCTTTGCTTGGAGCTTGAAAAGACCAGGCGAGAACTCATTGGCTATTCTGGTTTGGATCCCATTGATGCGGCTAAGAAGTCTCTTCTTCTTGTGAAAGACATTGCCGAAGGTGGTTTTATTCCACTCAGTGAAACTCCCAGCCACTTTCCGCAAAGCTTCCTGAAGCGGCACTTGGGGATCCCAATTGTCCTGCAAAAAATCACCATAAGAATCATGCGTTAGCCAAGCTCCTTCAAAGCGAAAGGGACGAGAAGAGGAAGGGTTAACTCCCTGATTTCCAACCACGGTCAGAATTGGGTGATGATCCGAATGCAACCGAGGAAGGTGGTGGACGGAGGTGTTGGGGAAGGTGGTATTCCAGGAAGTGTTACACAGGCTTCTATCGAGCCGGCTGGCTTTGTAAACATTTGGAGGCTCTCCTCTAGTCCATGTGAACCTCGGCCCAGAGTAACCCAGATCAATGAGCTCCGCTTGGTCCATCCTATCGTTGAAGCGCTTACAACGGCGAAGGATAGCTGTGGTGGTTTCCCCTGCCTGTTCCGAGGGGGAGCGGATGGCGTTAAAGTCACCAGTAAGCAGCCACGGATAGTCGTGATCCTCCCCCGTGCGATGAATCGCCGGCCACAAGAAGTGTTGAAGCTCCTGCCTCGGGCTCGCGTAAACTGCCGTTAGGAGCCAAGGAGGGGCCGAGGCGCACTTAACCTTCAAAAAGAGATGTTGAAAGCAAGCTGAAATGAGCTCCACCGTCACGGGCCTCGCGTCCCAGCACAACCAGAGGCCCCCTTTCCTCCCCTCAGCCTCGACCCTCATAATATTAGGAAACCCCATCTTCCCACAAACCCGATCTGCCACCTCTCCGCTGATCTGCGGTTCCAAGAGAATCAAAATGTCAGGCTTATGGGTGGCCACAATGAGCTTAAGCGCTCTAATGAAGGCGCTACTACCAGCACCTCCAACATTCCACGAGCAAATTTTAAAATTGAAATCAGGAAAAACAGACATAATTGGATAAAAAAAAAGGAGCGAGAGAAAGAAGAGATCGGTCGCTGCTCGAGGGGGATCACGAGGTGAATATCGGAGCAGTCGTAGCACTTGTCTCCTTCTGGGATCTTTCCTCCGCCGGGGTCGAGGTCGGTTTATCGGCCTGTTCTGCCTGCACCGCCCCTGTCCACTCAGCTATCTCCTGCAGCGTCAAATTCGCCATTCTAGATCGAGCCTTGGACTTCTTCTCCTTGACAGGCGTCCAGATTTGGAGAGCTTTGGCGGCAACCTTCATTGGAGATTGTCGGTTCTTGGATTTCTTCTTCTTCCTTTCATTTTTGGTGCGGGTTGCCGCCGACGGGGAGCAGGTGGACGCTTCAGTCTCCCTCTGGTGGTCAATGGAAGGAACAGCCACGATCTGAATAGAGGTGGCATTTGGGCCTGTCGAGGTCGGCACATTGGGCGGGTTGGGAAAGAGCATAGCTTTGACAGTTGTTCTTGGGCCCAGCAGCGCCAACCTTATTTGTCTCAGGCCCAGTCCTAAAGGATGAAGGGCCAGCCTCAGAGGAAACGGAGCGATTTAACACATTGTTGGGCCGTGAGCCCGGGCTTTCTCTGGCGGGCGGGATGGGACCAAGCAACCCTCTACCCCCTGAGGCGGATGAAGCTGCTTCTCCCCCTGCCTTATCCTTCCCGTTACGCTGATCTGTGCCAGTTGCCTTTCCTTTTACAAGATCCCCGTTTCTGTCGCTTTCTAGTCTCTAATTCGTGCCTTTCTTTTTTTCACTGATGCTTTCCATATCCCTTTGTATAGACTTTCCTTTGCCGGCCTTCCCATTCCCCCCTGATTCTCCGGGGCTCTCAATATCATTTCCTTTTTCTAATGTCCGGGATCCTTTCCGAGATCGCCGCGTGACCTGCATCCATGGCCCGAAACCAGAGCGTTCCTCCGACAGCACCGCCGGCGAGCTTTCCGGTGAACTGACCACAACTCCAGCGACCGGCGGTTGTATCTTCGCCGTTAGAGAAGGGCAGGACAGCGAGGTGTGTCCAATTCTGCCACACTCGAAGCAGCAGGTTGGAAGATTCTCATATTCAATATATTGCCACTTTCCGTCCAGCCGGATTCTCGTAACTAGCGGCTTAGAGAGGTCAAGCTCCACGGCCATCCGGGCAAATTTCGCTCGTTGTTGATGTTGCGTGTGGAAGTCTAACTTGATTGCCCTGCCAACCATGTTCCCAAGCTTGAAAAGGATCTCCTTATGGTAAAAATGCACTGGGAAGGCTGGGAATTGTATCCACACTACCATGGATCTCGGCAGAGCATCGGACACTCGAAAATCCGGAGTCCACTGAAAAACGATAAGATAATGATAAAAAATTATCCAAGGGCCTTCCGTGAGAGCTCGAAAGTAATCAGCATCATTGTCGAGCTTGATTAGGAAGCACTCTTGTCCTAGAGCCATAATCTCAATCGCCCCTGACGGCCTCCACAGACTCCTGATCTTGTTGCTAAAGGTCAGGAAGGAGATATTCAGTCCGAGAACTCGAACCACTAGTGTTCGTTGCCAGGGAACGCAAAGCCTCTCTTTGAAACCATTTGAGATCTTCAACTCCGGCTCACCATTGAAACTTCCGGTTACTAGGTCGTGTTCTCCGACGGGCGTCCAGGCCACCTTGTTCTGAGAAGAAACGTTGCTAGTCCCCATCACCACATTCGCATACGACAACGCCTTGTCTGTTGCCTGTTGGGTCGAAGTGTCTTTTTGTGGAGTCAGATCTACCACCATCTCTGTCTCGTTTGCTGAGGAAGGTTGCCCAGCCGGATTGTTGCAGATGGAGTCGATCATCTCAGCTTCTTTACCACTCGTCAACGACTGATTAGGGTCCGGGGGTCTGCCTGAGGGATTCAGATCAGACGCCGGCAGAGTATCGAGAGAATTCAGAGCGTCCATGTGATGTTGTTATAATTAGCTTCCTTTACTTGTAGTAGATTATAAATACGACACTCTATCACTGTACAATGACTAATTGTATTTTCCCTTTGATATTAATAAAAAAAGGACCAAATTAAAAGAGTTGGAATGACTTGGAAGAAACGAGCCGTCGGGGTGATGAATTTTGGGTATAATTGCTCTTTGTCCCGCTATTTCTTTTTGGTTATAGGTATAATATGCCGTTATTTTATTAAAAATATCCTTCACTATTTTTTACATCAAACATGCCTCTGTATTTTGGAAAATGTGCCCTTCTGTTAAAATTTTCATCCAAAAAACGTCAATCACAAATGAATCTTGGTTTGAGCGACACAAATGTCTAAAATATCCTTGATAATTTCACTTTAGAATTATTTGGGTTCTTTCTTAGAGCCAAATATCTCTAATAATTTCACTTTAACGGGACCTAGAGAAATAAATTGGGGGACAAAACTGACATATTCCCTCCCATTTACCGATGTTGGGTCGTCTAAATCTCGGTTTAACGTGGTTGGCGATTTTTTTAATGGAAATTTTAACAGAATGACATGTTTGATAATTTTTCCCAAGTTAAAAAATAGTAAAGGAACATGTTTGATAAAACGACATAGCAGAGGAGCATATTATACATATAACCTTTCTTTTTTCTTGTTTTGTTTGGTAACGTGACCTTTCGATGCTGCCCTGTGCTAATTAGGATGTGCAATTAATTACGCTCTGACCTCTGCTTCTTGACTCAAAGGTCAAAACAACGGTGTGAGATGAATTTTGAAGTGGCTGCTACGTACCAAACTGGGCTGGATCTTGGTACAGTTGAGATTCATTGCAGAAGAATCATTACAGTACTATGCTTTTCGGATTCCATTGCATATGAATTTCCACTTTCCAGCTTCCTAAGTTTGAAGAAGCAAAGATTGAGGTGATGTTGATAAAAGTTGTGGTTTACTTTAAAAATGTCGTGATTAACTTTATAAAACTTTACGTTATACTTTAAAAAAGTTTGTGGTTTCTTTTATAATGTTTTGGCCGTTTTAATAAATTTGTGGTGTGTTTTAATTTTTAAGGAATTTGTGTTATATTTTATGAGGTTTATGACATGCTATAAAGTTATGGTCCGTTTTTAAGAAATTTGTATAAATTCCTTCTTTGATCAATTATATATATACAAAATAATTAATACTTCATTAAGGATATGAAAGTAAATGCCTTCTTTAACCAATAAATCTATATGAGAAAAATTCATTTTACAATTCAACAAGCCAACAAGTAAATTATAAAATCCAACATAGATACAAAATAGCAAAATTCAATATAATTCTTCAATCTCAAAATCCAAAATTATCCAAAATTTCTTTCTTATTTAATGATTCCTACAAGCAAACAACCCCTTAATTTCTCCTAACTATATTAGGTTTCGAACCGCTAAAATTATGGAGTTAGAACTTAGAAGTAAATAAGGAGCATGCCCATGAATTTGCCGTTCACCCCAATATTAAATAGCTCTCATAAATTTTATGTTACGCCCTGTTTGGGAAATGCACATTGAAATAAATTTGTGGCTTGGGAAGATATATATTGATAGATAGAGTTGATAGAGAATGTCATCTCCAATAACTGGCATCTGCTTTTCATTCATCAACAGAAACAAAATGGCTGTTGCATCTCTGAGATTGGTCCGTCTAGTAGCCCTCATCATCTTTGTTGCCAGTGTCAATCTGCATACCCAGGCGGCCGATGAGACCACCAGAAAGGCAAGATTAAATTGTTAACACCCAATTACAATTCAGCATTCACTTGCTGAAGGAAAATAAAAATGTCTGCAATAGTAGACGCTTCCTTGCTATCACGATACTTGTTTACGCGTCTAGGAAAAACACACTTCACCATAAAATGTTATGTGATGTTGGTTTGCAAGATCTGTGATAACATATGCTTAATTTAAATCCCGTGACTTGAAAGTGTAATAGGAATTTTTCCTAATTCTATGTTATTTCCTCCTTATTAGTTATTATATGGGTTGTGTTGTGCAGATCTATAACGTGGACTTGGATTCATCAATTATACCCAATACCAAATCTGCCCATTTGGCCCTTCTCAAAGGTGTTGTTCAAGGAGTGTAAGTTTTCAAAATAACTCTAATTACAAGGTCCTCTAAAAACAAAAACAAAAACAAAACATTTGTTTCTTACCTTTATTATTAGAAGTTAAAAAGAAAAAAGCATTTGATCGTCAGTATCGATTCATCGTGCCACATGATTTATCAATCTATTTAGAATATGAGCAAAGTCGAAAGTTTCAAAATTTTAATTTTGTTATTATCATCATTTAGTTTACGATCGCGGTTAATTATTATACTTATAAAAAATGACCAAGAAAATCATTTCTCGCGTCTAACTAACAACTTTTTGGCTCGCATTTTTTCCACCTCTAATTGGATCTTGAATGTGGCCCATACATACAGTAAACCAGAAGACGTACTTATAGAGACCAAATTGTGGTTCGAGACATTTGCAGCAGTACTCACTGAAGCTGAGGCCAAAAAATTGGCAGGTAAGTGATCAGAATATATTTAAATTACTACCCAAAGTAATCACCAAAATATACATTCTGATTGGATTTTAATTTCATTTGTGAACCATATTTTGCAGGGGTGAAGGGTGTGCTAAAGGTGATGCCCGGCTTAACAACTGGTGTCTAGCTAATAGTCTCGATTGGTCAGATGATTCATTTGTGAACCAACTATGTAACGCAACAAGGAAATTTTAATAAATTAAACAAAGTTCTTCTTTACTCAAGAAGTTTCGTTTCATTAAGTCTGGTGGAGAGAACGTTACTGGCGAAATTCTGCACCACCCCACTTGTTAATATGACAGCAAGACTTACTGAAGGTTTAGTGCTTTACAAGTAGCTACAGAGCAGAAAGTCCGATTCTGATTCACCACTGTTTCGAAAATGACAGTTTTAATGTTTCGAAAACCCTCCTCCAAGAAACATTCCAACTTTTAATGTCCATACTAACTCCTAAAAACCGCCAATCTAACTTTTTCTGCAGTGCCACAGTGCCATGGCAGCTCAGCATAACATTTCGAGCAAGACAGTGAGAAAAGCTTCTCTTTCCTATGAACCCTGTTTCTTTCAGAGCTTACTCTTTCTAATGATATCAATTTCAACCACTGGAAGTCATGTTTCTAAAGTTTTTGGGAAGTAGTATCACAGAGTGTCATCATCATCCAAGTACTTTATGGAAACTCTGGGATCATTTCATTTGAATGATACTGCAATCTTCAAGTGAAGAGATTACGATGCGAAAAAGTGATATTCCTGCGCAGAAACAAAATGACATGTCGTTACTGCAATCTGTTATGCTCCAGATGTTGAGCCTTTTGGTTTCCAATCACCTCAAGCAGGATCGATAATGGATATTTTACTAAGACACACATAGGAAGGCATTCATTACATTTGACACACATAACCCACCGCACACACACAGTTGTAGAGTCTTAATGCTGATTGGCAATATCAATAACATCACTACATAAGTTACAGTCAAAGGCAGGATAAATAAACAACTCACACTGAAATTATCCGAAAGTATGCTGAAGTTACTATTTAGCAGTTACGAGAATGAACCTGATCTTGATCCAAACCACCTGATCAGTTACGTTCTTGAGATGCCACAAATGCAACGACAGGACTCCTCACAGAATGAGTCCCATCACTCAGAACCAAAGAACCGGACAACATGGTCCTCCCCAGGCGAGCAGTTACTGTCACAACGAAAGACCGCTTCTCCCCAGTGTTGTTGAATGAAAACACAGGTGGTTCAACTTGGATCATCAGGCCCACTGGAGTTTTTGCTATGGCCTTGTAGGTTGATGTTGCTGATCCAACATTTGTAACTATCCGGTGGAACACCCGAGTAACAGATGTCCTTGGCTTCTCCGTGGACAATATAAAAGAAGGGTAGTTAAGATTCCATACCGTTTCATTTGTTGCTGCAGAACTACATGAACTCTGATCTCCCGTGATCTCACGGAGTTGAGCATTGGTATATCCTTGGCCACACAGAAACTTGACATAATCACTTAACCCGGCATCATAAACTAATCCCGGAACCACAGCCTTCAAAGGATCAACTTGCCCTGATCCATATCCAAACTCAGCATCAGGTAAGACTTTGACACGTATAGGATGAGCTGTGGTGAATGTTAGGGGGGAAAGGTGTCAGAATCACAAAGAATAAAAACATACATAGGAGATTTCATTGCATAATAACATCAGAAACCTGTTGTCATTAGAGCAGACTTGATGGCTGCCGGAGACCATGTAGGGTGGAAAGATTTAACGTAAGCTGCTGCTGCAGTTGCATGAGGACAGGCCATGGAAGTGCCTGAGATTACATTAAACGGAGCAATCCTAGTGTCTCCCGGAAGATTTGTCAGAGCTGCAGCTGGAGACCATGCAGCCAGGATATTAACTCCTGGTGCTGTAAGGTCCGGCTGCACCATATAACCCATATCACATCAGGATTAAGCTCAAAAGGGTGGAAGTGAAAACTTATGTTTGATGATACCTTAAGAATGTTTCTGGTTATAGGGTTCGGACCCCTTGAAGAAAAGCTGATGACATATGCAGATGAATTATCCATGTAGTCTTGAGTCATAAATATTTGTGCTATTGGATCACTGCAAGGAGATCCATCAAAAGAAAATAATCAACAAGATTAGAGTTGTTTCTCCATCATGTTTCTTTTACCCGCCTAGCAATTTCAGCAATATCCAAACAAGTCATTTTTGTTTCCAAGAACTACCTGGTTGACTTTATGTACTCCACAATGGTGGCTCCTTCAGCATCCGTTAAGATGGAAACAGGTAAAGGGAAGGAAGATGCTTGATCTTCAACCAAAGAGGAACCCATTATGGCACCAGCTGCGCCCGCTGTGAGTGTTCCCCAACCAATAGCATCACAATGCACAATTTTTCCTCGCACCAAAGTCTTGTTCAAGCTTCCTAGAGCGCAATACCTGGAGTAGGTATTTTTCATAATACAAGGGCAATCCATCAATTGCTTCTGAACCAACGTCTTACTTTTACAAGCATATATAAAACAAAGTTCTAGTCATATTTTTGTGTATCACTATTTTCACCTCGCATCAGTTGCAATCTTTCCAGATTTATTATTCCCCGCATCTCCACCATAAACAAGAGGATAGAACCTTCTGGGAGAATAGGTGTTTATAGAGACTCCCTAAATTGGAGGAAGGCTTCTGTTAAGCTCCATATATATAAACAAACATCAAGGCCAAAGCAATAATAGGACGTTCTAAAAGCTCACCTCATAAGTTCTCCCGTCACCCAGCATCACCGCAGTCACGAACTTTCTGTCGATGGTGCTAGCAGCCACAGAGAGTGACCAAGGAGAAAAATTAGACAATGTTCCTGGAGAAGGGCCACTATTACCTGCTGAGTTGGACGTGAGGATTCCGTTCTTCATGGAATGGAAAGCTCCTATAGCAATGGGGTCGTGAAAGTAATCCTTTGGAAACAATCCGCCGACCGAGATGGAAATAATGTCGACTCCATCAGCAATTGCATCATCGAATGCCCTTAGAGTGTCCTCATCGAAGCAGCCATCAGACCAACAGATCTTGTAAACGGCGAGTCGGGCAGAGGGCACCCCTCCTCGTGCAGTCCCTGAGGCAAGGCCAAAAAGACTTGCTGGAGTGACCAAGTTGCCTGCTGCTGTAGAAGCTGTGTGAGTTCCATGACCTAGAGAATCCCTTGGCGAGAGAACGTCATGTTCACTGTAGTTGCGCCTAGCATGGTACCATTTGGCTCCAATGATCTTGCTGTAAGGCATCAAGGGACGAGACATAAGTAATGGAATTTGGAATTCAGCGGCACTGGGTCACGAAATTGGGGAAAGACCCAGTTCTTATTAGAGGATGCACTAACTAACTAACTTACTTGTTGCAGGAGAAATTGGCAGAGGATTGGCAGATGCCCTTCCATTTCTGCGGAGGTGGCCCGTATCCAGAATCGTTGAAGCTCTGTGACTCTGGCCAAATTCCGGTGTCGAGCATCCCAATGATAATGTCGCTCTCCACAGTCCTTCTCTTGACATTCTGATGGAAACCCAGGAAGTCCCATGACCTTGTCGTGTGGAGTTCTCTCTTCTGACTGGCGAAAACAGACACTACACCTTCATACCCTGCGGTGCAAAGACAGTTCATTTTAACATTAATTAATTAATGACGAATTCTGATCGAATAAAAACAATGTTGTTCGCTGGGTTCGCGATTTAGGAACCAGAAAGTTTCTCCGACTCGGTCTTGGTCAGCCTGGCGGCAAAGCCATTAAAGCTCCTGCTGTAGCTGCAAACCAGGGACTCGGAAGCAGCGGTGGCACTGGAAGACGGAAAATCACACTTTACTGATTCAGAAATCGGAACTGAAGTTTTGGCTGGGAATCCGAAATGGGTTAATCGTTTTTACCTGCCGGTGACCTGGTGAAGGAGACTTATGTGGAGAGCAGAAGCAGCAGCAGTTCCAGCGATTCCGGGTCGCGGTCGGTCGCCCATGTATACTATGTAGACCTGCAAATGTAATCGGTGGCTGTTAGCAAACGGCCCAATTTTCTTTGGGTTTCTGGCCCATGAAGACCAAACAAATTTAAACCCAAACCCATTCAGACTGTTGCAGTCTTGGCTTTCTTTTTCCTGCGCGCGATCTGGATCTAGCCCCAAACAATTGAAATACAATCCATTTTTTTTTTGTTCATATACCAAATTATTTTGTTTATTTTGTGTATTGGATTTCACTTACGGTTCGTTTGAAAGTTGATATTTCAAAATGTATTTGGAGTTTTAAAATGAAACACAACAGCAAAATTATTATGATTGTCAATTTCTCTTTTTATATTCTTCCTATTTTTTAAGGGATCACCAAAATCAGTGAAACTCCAAACACTATATTTTTTTAAATTCATACATGAAACAACACATCTAATTAAATTATATAATTAATTAAACGTATCACTTTAGAGAATCCTAACTATCAAACATGGGCTATGTTAAAAGAAAAGAAACTTATTAGAAACAGCTTGAGTATATTTCTTTTTCGAGAATAACCCTGCTTGAGAATTGAGATCAAGTATTAAAAAAAAAAATTAGATAGCGCCATTAGATCTCATGATCAATCATGCAGAAATTAGCCCAAATACACCGTGCATATATAATATATATGCACGTCTAATTCATGTATGATCTGAAAATATGCTAGCTCGTGAGTTACGTTGTTTGGAAGGAAAATACAAGATATGATCAGAGAGAAAGTAGTAGAAGAAAATTAATGGGCAGAGGTAGAAGGATTAATTCAATAATAATAATAATGTATTTGCCTTTCTGTCTTCAGCACCACCAGCGCAGCAGCAACCGATCAGCAGCATGAAACCAGCAGCCGCTATGAGAGCGGCGGCGCGATGAGTCGGTCGGAAGTAGCTCTCATAATCGCCGACATCCTTCCTTTGTGCGCCTGGTTTCTTTTTTCTTCTGAAAAATTAAGACGACGACAACTCAGCTCAGCGAACCGGCCTCTTTGTGTTATTTTGCAGTCGTACGTACTGCAATCATATTCCATATCATGGGCTGCCGGCTTCTGCTGCGCTGATTGCGGCTTTGCAATCAATGATCCGTTTTATGGCTTGTTTTCTTTAGCCCGGCCGTGGGATTCATTGATCGAGCGAGTCGTACTGCGCACAAGTTAAAAAGGGTGCAAATCCATTAACCCTGCTGCCAGAAGCGTTCATTACCTTCCATGTGAGAATTAAAGAACCGGTTGGTACCAATAACTTCAAAGAGTTGTTGATAATAGATCTTATACCACATATTAATTAACAACTTGGTTTATGGATTATGGATTGACATGTGTTACGAGACCAAAAATATGGTGGAATGTCGTCTTTTTTTTTTAACTCAAGAACTAAATAGAACCAATACTCGAAAGAAACTAAAACGACGGAGGATAAAAGAGAACAATTAGCTAGCAAACTATTTGAATTTCAATCTTCTAATGAAGTTAAACGAATGAGCAAGTACATATTTATGACATGCTATAAAGTTATGGTCCGTTTTAAGAAATTCGTAAGGATGTCAACAGATTGGGTCGGAGGCAGATAGTGCATATTCATTTCTCAATCCAAAGTAGTTCAAATTTTACCCATACCCACACAAAAATTAGATTGAAAATCGAGATCATGGCCTATACTCATTTGGGTTTTGGTATTTGTGGTCATCCATGGGTAGTAATTTTCCTTCATAACTTTAACAACACATATTAACAGTTACAAGTATATTGGAATTACCCAAGTGAATGAACAAGGGTTTGGCCTTGTAGTAATACCACTAGTCTAGTTTCTAGAGGTTTCAGGTTCGAATCCGTTAAGTAGTAGTACCCTTAATAAATAAAAAAGGTAAAACCTATATCACTTTTATACTCTCTTTTTTTATCCAAGTGAAAATACAACAACAAATCACTAGAATAAAGAAAATTAGTAACAAAACTTCATGAAAATATTATATATGTATAGAAACTATTAAATATGATGAGAAAAATAAAGATCATTTGTAGATAAATATATACACATATGTATAATCTAGCAGGTTCAAATTGGATAGTAAGAAAACCCCACTCGTTATTCACAATATTCTAATTTAGTTTTATACTAAAATATTGCAAGGATTATATTTGCCTAATGATTACTAGCTCTCTCCCTTATCTCTCTTCCTTTCTAGGTCGAACCCTATCTCCCTCGTCTCTTTCTCGCTAAATTCTTCCCTAACGTCTCCTCATCAGTCTTCACCAAGATTATCAACCTGCAGGTCGACCCACTTTAACCCTGACTCGATGAGAAAAATGGATCGCACGCATTCGCTGGATCGACAGCTATAAGGTATCGAGTTGGAGGGTATTCGCATAAAAACTCTTAAAAGTAAGCGGCAAGATCCCATTATTCACATAAAAACTCTTAAAAGTAGTTTTGAATCCATCGCACCATTACACTTCCAGGGGATCAGTTAATTATTTGGATCATTCCGGAAACTTTATTAGTTTGTTGAATTGCTGGATCAAGAAGCACGCATGCACATATATAATGAGGAAGTATGATGAGTAGATTTACGGGTTGGGCTTTAGGAGTAGAGGATCGTGTTGGGTTTCTTGGGTGGCAAGGAGAGGGGTAGCCGAGTAGGAATAGGAGTTGGGCTAGTATTAGGTTTACCTATTGGGTTTATTTCTTATATAAATGTGTAAGGTCGGCATTAGTTCAAGTTATCGAATAATAAAGTTAAGGTTTATCGACACCAACGTCGTTCTCTCACTTGTGAGTTACAAGCAAAACCTTAGAACGGAGGCATCTGTTCATCAAAGTAGTAAGTAGTTAATTGATTGCTTCTCGATAAGTACTTCTCCATTCAGAAGGCGGCTAGCGTTACAAGAGTTTCATTCAAATGATGGTAAAATCGTATAGGAGGTTGAACCGGATTAGTGGATGGTATGATACTTTGGGTTGTTTGCTTGTTGGATTTGAAAATGAGGGTTTTGATTTTTTTTAAAAACCTTTGGATTTATGATGAATTTGTTGCATTATGGATTTGAAAGAGTACATTGTTTGTATAATAAGAGTCCGAATTCATGAGCCCCACGAATTTGTGTCACTTAACAAACAATGAATTTGTGTTAAGTTCTTGATAGTTGGGATTTGGGTGTCAAATCCATTATCCAAATATAGCTTCACAAACACCGAAATGGTATTATATAACCCTTTTACAAAACAACTATACGGACCTTTTTTGCGCTTTGACTGGTATTGATGATTTTCTACAAGAAAGCCTGGGGTGTGTCGCCAAAAATGGTGATACGTTTGATGTGCGAAGTATATGCTTGTTTTTATAGTATTTAAGAGATTTGAACCTAAGACTTCCATATTCAAATTAGACCTTAAATTGATTATTATTTCTTTTGGATAAAAGGCGATATAACTTTATTTTTATAGTTAGTTAAAGTTTAAGAGATTCAAAACTTGAACCTTCAAATCTAAAACCAGTTATACTACTAGATTAAATTCGTGTTCGCCCAATTCATGCGTAGTTTTTATGGATTAGACTAGCAAATTGTAAAAGATCAAGATTCAGGGACTTTACATTGGGGTATAGGAGATTGAACTAATACATTGTAATAGTTAGGGTACCTATATGTAATTGATTTTGCAATCAATTTGTTAGGAGGTGTGATACATTCCTACCTTTCTCTCTCTATACTGAAGCCACATCAATGTAGATCGAACGAGCTTGGGCAAATTAGAGTTCATTTAAATAATTAATTGAAGAAAAGAATATACTATAAGTTTGACTCATCGGGACAGGTTATGGTGATTACTATTTTTATAATAATCACCGTGGTTACTAAGGACAAACTGGGTATAACAAAAAATTTATTAATGATCTTTTTTAATAAATTACATTTTAGGAAATTACATAAATATATTAAATACAATTTTTTTTCTCTCTTTCTCTCACTTCCACAATTTTTCAGTCAGATCTCTCTGCCTTCTTTTTCTCAATCTTTCCTTGATTTCGTTCATCCAAACTAATACCGCTGCAACAACAAAACAATAAATCAACACCAATCCATTAAAAAAATACTACCATTGTACAAAACATCAATACCATTCGAGAAATAAAAACACTATTATTTCACAAAACATCAATACCATTACAAATTTAATCACTACCAATGCGACAAAATCAATACCAATGTAACAAAATCAATACCAATGCGACAAAAACACTACCACTACGGAAAAAATGACTACGAAAAAAAAAGACTACCATTTATAAAAAAAACATGCGAATCCTTAAAAGATTGTTGGAGGAATCAGTTGAGCTTTCCTGGAGTAGGCCATTCAGCTCCATTATTATTTCCCAGAGGCCAAGCAGCAGTGGCTTCTCCGTTGTCGGTTCCTTCTCAGGTCTCCCGGAGTTTGTCCATACCGCCCCGTGGTCAGAGAGCTGTAGCATTGGATCCCCCACGGGAAGCGACTCAAAAAGCCGAGACAGTTGAAGAAGATTTTTTTCTCCCCGTCTCTGAAGCCGATCTCTCTTTTGAATGGTCAACCAGTGGCTGCCGGAGAAAGAGGCGCGGAAGGAGTCGTCGGACAAGCAGGCGACGACGGATGAAGAAGCGGAGCTGGCGGCGAAGGAAGGTGGCGGCGTCGATCTCCTCTCTAAACTCAGGTCGCCGCCGAGGAAGAAGCTGGCGGACAGGGAGGCGAGAGAGGGCGGCGACCCTCAGCCTCTCGCAAACCCTAAGCCATCGTCGGGGAGGGTGAGAGATTGCGGCTACGGCGGGTTTGGCTGTAGAAGTAGGGTTAGGAAAAAATATATAGAATAATCAAGTGTGGTCTTTTTTTTTTTTTTCTTTCAAAATTATCCTGAGACAATCTTAACCGTAAGATTAAAAAAAAAGGAAAGAGAAAAAAATAAATGGTGGATACTGATGTAGCCACGATGGCTACTAAAAATCCAATTACCACCCTAACGCATTTCCTCCCCTAATCCCATAAAATCTTTTCCTGGTGATGGTATCCAAATTTCAGTCACCCAAAATTGCTGGCCAAAGA